ATATATGGACTGTACTTTTTGTAACAGAGACAGAAAGGTCAGACAGAAGGTGTGCCTTCCAGGAGCTGGTGTTGGTGACATAGTCTGCAGGTTGGATAATATTATGTCAGGTAATGGGAATAAGCCCATTATCTTAGTGCTGGGGTAATGACATTGGGAAGGGTAGGAGAGAGGAGCTGCTGGATAAGTACAGGTCAGCCATAGAAGTAGTTAGGTCTAAGGGAGGGATCCCGGTCATATGTAGCATCTTGCCTAGAAAGGGAGTGGGCAATGAATGGATGTCTAGGGCAATTGGCATAAATTGCTGGCTAGACAGGTATTGCAAGGAACTTGCAATCCCATTCATTGATAACTGGGACCTATTCTTTGGCAAACGTGATATGTATGCAAGGGATGGGGTTCATCTCTCTGGGGATGCAGTGATTGCATTAGCCAATTCGATTGAGAGGGTAACTGATGACTTGTCTAGGAATTTAAACAGATAGATTATAGAGGAATGGGTATTTGTGGGAAACAATCGGGTTGCAGTATTAGGGTTAAAAACAGCACTGTTACCGGGATACCCCAGGGATATGTTTAAAAGACAATATTCAAAATAAAGTTGCTAGTAATGGCAAATCAACTGATTAACAAACAGAGAGATAGTAGAGGGCAACGAGTGACTAACTCCCTTAAGGTTTACTATACAAATAGTAGGAGTCTAAGAAATAAGATAGATGAGCTAAGAATACTTGCAAGTGTATGTAATATAGATATTATTGGTATAACAGAGACCTTGTTCAACCTGAAAGATCGAGAAATGCCTTCTGAATGCAGCGTACAGGGTTATAAACTTTTCCACACTGATGATAGGTCAACAGGAAGGGTGGAGGAGTGGCGATGTTCGTCAGAGAAAATTTAAATTGTTGTCTTAGACATCATATAAGATTAGAAACATCAGACACAGAATTTGTTTGGCTACAGTTTCTCGAGGGTCGTGACAAATTAATTTTGGGTGTGATTTATAGGCCCCCATACCTTGATAGGGAGTGCAGTAAGCTGTTATGGGACGAAATTCATAAGGCATCTAGATATGAAAATGTTGTGATAATGGGAGATTTTAACTTTAGACAAATTGATTGGAACAATATGACAGAAAATCTTGAGTCTAGTGATTTTCTTGATACGGTTCAGGATTGCTTTTTATAACAGGTTATGACAGAACCAACTAGAGGAAACAATCTGCTTGACTTGGTTCTTGCCAACAAAGAGTCACTAATTAATAATCTTGAGGTTAATGATGAGCTTTGGGAAAGTGATCGCAAATCACTTAGTGTCAATAAGTCATGAAATTACCCAGATAACTGCAATCAAATCTCTGTCTCAGATTTTCGCTTGGCCAACTTCATGGGACTGAAAAATTACCTGGGTGGGCTAAATTGGGATGTCCTGACTGTGAGTCAGGTAGGTGATCTTGGTTGCCAATATGACGTTTTTCAGAGCATTCTAGCTGCCCAGACAACTTTTATTCCGAGTAGGGAAATTAGATCTAACAAAAATGATCTCAAATGGATGAACAATAGATTAAAATAACTCATTGGTCAAAAGAGAGGCATATATAGGCGTATCAAAAGAGGGCATGGGCAGATAAGAAACCAATATATTCAATTAAAGAGAAAAATAAAGGAATGAGAAAAGCAAAAAGGGATTATGAGGCTAAGGCCGCAAGGGATTCAAAGACTAACCCAATAAGGGTTCTTTCAGGTATACAGAAGTAAGATTAGGGACAAGATAGGCCCACTTAAGAGTAACTCTGGTCAGATCACTGACAGTGATAAGAATATGTGTGAAATTCTCAATACCTACTTCCTCTCAGTTTTCACCCAGGAAAATACTAGCGATATTCCTGAAATAATAGATTATGTAGAACAGGACGATAATAAACTATGTACGATTGCGGTAACTAGTGTCATGGTCCTCAGACAAATAGAGAAACTAAATCTAACAAATCCTCAGGCCCTGATGAACTGTTTGCAAGGGTGTTAAAGGAATGTAAAGAGGAACTTAGCATACCTTTGGCTAATCTTTTTAACATATCATTACAAACTGGCATAGTGAATGATAAGTGGAAAATGGCAAATGCAATACCTATTTACAAGGCAGGTGACAGGTCCTTGGCTTCGAACTATAGACCAATGAGCCTTACCTCCATAGTGGGAAAATTTATGGAATCAATAATTGCGAAGCAATTCGTAGCCATCTTGATAGGCACAGACTGATTAATGAATCTCAACGCGGTTTTACAAAGGGGCGTTCCTGTCTTACAAATTTACTAACTTTTTTCACTAAGGTGTTTGAGGAGGTAGATCATGGTAATGAATATGATATTGTGTATATGGACCTCAGTAAGTCTTTCGATAGAGTTCCACATCAGAGGCTATTGAGGAAACTTAAGGCACACGGAATAGGATGTGAAATTTTTTCCTGGGTAGAGGAATGGTTGACAAATAGGCAGCAGAGAGTTTGCATAAACGGGGAGAAATCAGAATGGGGGCACATCACAAGTGGTGTTCCTCAGGGGTCAGTGTTGGGCCCATTGTTGTTCAAAATTTACTTAAACGACATAGATGAGGGAATAAATAGCGACACAAGCAAATTTGTTGACACCAAAATTGACCGTCCAATTCATTCTAATGAGATCACTAGAGCACTCCAGGATTATTTGAATAGACTGATACAGTGGTCGGAGAAGTAGCAGATGCAGTTTAATATAGACAAATGCAAAGTTCTAAATGTTGGACAGGAAAATAATCATGCCACATATAAACTAAATAATGTAGATCTTAATACTACTGATTGCGAAAAGGATTTAGGAGTTCTGGTTAGCAGTAATCTAAAACCGTGACAACAGTGCATTAGTGTTCGCAATGAAGCTAACAGAATCCTTGGTTTCATACCTAGAAGTATAAATAACAGAAGTCCTCAGGTTGTTCTTCAACTCTATATATCCTTGGTTAGGACTCATTTAGACTATGCTGCTCAGTTCTGGTCACCGTATTACAGAATGGATATAAATGCTCTGGAAAACGTACAGAGGAGGATGACAAAGATGATCCCATGTATCAGAAATCTTCCTTATGAGGATAGACTGAGGGCCCTGAATCTGCGCTCTCTCGAAAGGCGTGGAATTAGGGGGATATGATCGAGGTGTATAAATGGAAAACAGGAATAAATAAAGGGGGATGTAAATTTGCTGACACCAAAATAGGCCGTCCAATTCATTTTCATGAGGACACTAGAGCACTCCAGGATGATTTGAATAGACTGATGCAATGGTCGGAGAAGTGGCAGATGCAGTTTAATATTGACAAATGCAAAGTTCTAAATTTTGGACAGTTAAATAACCATGCCACATATAAATTAATAATATAGATCTTAAGGATTTAGTAGTTCTGGTTAGCGTTAATCTAAAACCAAGACAACAGTGCATTAGTATTTGCAATAAAGCTAACAGAATTCTTGGCTTCATATCTAGAAGTATAAATAATAGAAGTCCTCAGGTTGTTCTTCAACTCTATATATCCTTGGTTAGGCCTCATTTAGACTATGCTGCTCAGTTCTGGTCACCGTATTACAGAATGGATATAAATGCTCTGGAAAACGTACAGAGGGAGGGGGTCATTGGTCTAATCCGGGGGGGGGCATGGACCTGCTCCGCATGGGTCAGTAGGCCTGTTGCACTGTTCCTTCATTCTTATGTTCTTAAATAGCGTGCTGAAAATTTCCAGCCAAGACAGGACTCGCAGCAATGGCTTCAAGTTGGAAAAATTCAGATTCAAGAAGGATATAGGAAAGCACTGGTTTGGTAATAGAGTTGTGGATGAGTGGAACAAACTCCCGAGTACAGTTATTGAGGCTAAAACTTTTTGTAGTTTTAAAAATAGGTTAGATAAATATATGAGTGGGTGAGGATGGGTGTGAGTTGGACCTGACTAGCTTGTGCTGCTGGGTCTGGTGCCATGATTCTTCCTTGAGCGGAGGTGACCAGGCTGGGTGGGTCATAGGGCTAAACCGTGGGGGAGGACATGAACCCGCTCCGCATTGGTCAGTAGGCCTGTTGCAGTGTTCTTTCTTCTTATGTTCTTGTCGGTTTAGCGCTTTCTCTGGTTATAATAATCCAGGTAGACTCCTGGTAGGTAGATCACACCAGTTTACTTCACCTAGGTAATTTCTCAGTCTTATAAAATCGGCCAGGCTGAAGTCAGAGACACTGGCATGATTGGAGTTATTAAAATAATTCAACGATATATTGAAAATGAGTTATTTGTGACCGCTTTCCCAAGTTCATTATTAACCTCGAGATTATTAATTAGAGATTCGTTATTGGCGAAAGCCAAGTCAAGCAGGCTATTTCCTCTAGTCGGGTCTGTCAGAAATTATTGTAAAAAACAATCCTGGATTGTTTCAAGAAAGTCGCTAGATTTCCCATCAATTTGTTTGGACTCTAGAGTTAAAAATCTCCCATTAACACAACTTTTTTGTATGTAGATGATTTGTGAATTTCTTCCCATAGAAGTTTACCACGTTCGCTATCAAGGTTTCGGAGCCTGTAAATCAAACCCAGATTCAGTGTCTGTCGCTTCTAATTTTATATTCTTGTCTAATGCAACCATTGAAATTATCTCTGACGTATTCGCCTCCTCACCACCCTCCTTGACCTTGTTGATGTGGAATGATTTATACCCTTTAATGTGGCATTCAAAAGGCATTTCTCTATCATTCAGGTGGTATTCATGAGTTAAGCGTGATTTATTATATATAAGGAGTCCCTCTATTTTTCGTCCCACAACGGAATTAAATCTGAAGTAAGTACTTAACTCTCTTTCTACGGTTCCCCATAACTCCTGACGGTGAAGACACACCTTGGATTTATCTCTTCACATTAAGAAATTTACCCTTCGATTACTTTCCTTTTTGGGGCTCAACTGCTCAAGTGCGATACCTGTGTTTATTTTTTCTGCAGGCTCCCAGCGTACGTATATGCGAGGCGGCGTGGGTGCTGCGGACGATGCTGTTGTCACGAGCCCCGCACCTCCTGCGTGATCGACGACACCGTGGCTGTTCCCAGCCCAGGTGCGGTGTGGGTACCGAGCTAACGGAGTGGCTCCTATCCCTGTCCTCTACCGTGCACTCCAGGTCGCAGGCAGCGGGCATGTGGCAGTCGCTGCTTGAGGAAGGTGCTATCTATCACGGTAAGACTGGTTTATATCTCATTAAATGCATAGACTCTTACCCGATGCTAAAAATGATGGTTCGTAGGTTCGAGTCTCCTTCAGCCAGAGATCAGTGTTTGTGTATATTTCGCCTGCTCTTGCGAATTCCTTGCATTGTTAATGTCTCTAGTAAGGCTGATGCATGCAGGGGATGAGATGAAAAGCTGTAAGCCTTCTCCCTGAAAACTGGCTGCCTTGGATCAAAGTCTAGCGCAAGCTGGACGCCAAGGTATTGGTCCAGTGTGGGTAGATTGGTAAAGCTCTGCGTACCTTGTTCCAAGGTTCGTAGGTTCGAGTCTTCTTCAGCCAGAGATCAGTGTTTGTGTGTGTGTGTGTGTATATATATATGGAGGTACCACCACTGGAACTGTCCTGGGGACCCTCATCCTCAGAGAAAAGAATAATTTTGCTTCAGGGAAAACTCAAGGTTCTCTCTGAAGCTGTTTGAAAGTTTTTTCCTACCACCCCCTATATTTAATGTATATTTTATTTAAAGACGAAATACATTGACGAAAGTACAATAGGGAGCAAAAACAACATATATAAAAACTCAAAGCTACATCTCGAATACTTCATCCAGCTCCCTGGCGGTGGGCTGCATGCCCAGAATGCTGCAGGAATTTCCCCTCTGGATCGCGACACTGAGTCTTTGAAAAAGAAAGCTGGCTGCCCTGTGGTCTTTGGTTTCTATGATGAGTTTTTCACCCAGCTCTTTGAAGAACTTCAGAGCACACCTGCTCCATGCTTCAAGGGTCTCCGACCCTGTCGGGATGAAGATATAGCAAGGGGGAAGGTCTTCATAGTTGCGGGTCTTCTGGGTCTCCCTGTGGCTGGCAGCTCCACCCCCTTCAGCTACTGAGTATGGGAAGTAGGTGTCTGTCAATGTGGCGGCACAGGTGTAGTCCCAGGTAATCTGCTTTCTATCCCTCCAGGGTTGCATAGTGTCTCCATCAGGACGTTTTTGACTTCCATCTGACTTCTGCACTTGGGGTTCCCGTTGGGCTGGGCAACGGGCTGATTCGAGGCTTCTCTTTACACACACACACACACACACACACACACACACACAAACATATATATATATATATATATATATTATAAAAATAATATATTTATATTCGTTGCCGATATATTAATGTGGGCAGAACTTGCTATCTTGGCTTAAATAGCAACGCTCATCTTGCCATATAGGGCAAGTGAAAATTTGTGTATGCAGTAATTTCGCCCAAATCATTCTGAACCTAACGAAAAAAATATATTTCACTGTGTTTGTTTAGTATTAAATTACTGTAAACCAATCTAAAATATATTAAATCTAAAATATATTTAGTTGGGTTAGGCTAAAATAAATTGTTCTTGTTATTATAAGGTTAGGTAAGTTTTCTAAGATTCTTTTGGTGCAAAATTAAAAATTTTTACATTAACATTAATGAAAAAAATATATCTTTAAACGTATAAGAGAAAATTTTAGAACGGACTTAATTTTAAATGAGTTCTTGCTAATTGACCAGTTTTACATATTCGGCACGACATATATAACATACATATATATATATATATATATATATATATATATATATATAAAATATATATATATATTAATATATATATATATGCAAAACAACCACTCTGAAAGAATAGAGAAATTCCAAGCGCTTTCGTGACCACTCACATTATCAAGGAACTATGAAAGTAAAGCATCCAAGGAAGGTATATAAGGGGGTCTGGCCAACACCTCACTATCATATCCCACAACGGTTAAACACCCGACGCGCGCCGGCCCAACTGGACAGGTCCTTTGCACAACCACCAACAAACTATTCTACCCAAGAAAATTTTTAAAATTATTATTTGTCCAGTGTATTATTAAATTCTTCCCAAATTCTATTAATTATAAATGGATCTAATTTATATAAACCAAAGGAAATATTCATATTATTGTCAAAACTGCTTTTTATGAAACAAGATTCAATTATTTTCCTGTCGACCATGGACTTGCTTGATACTACTTTCTCAACTTTTTGAAAATCAATTGGATGGTTAAAATCTCTTACATGAATAAATAGAGCATTGGAATCTTGTCCAGTTCTAATGCTATATTTATGTTGTTTTAATCTTAGTTCGAGATTTTTACCAGTTTAACAGTAATAAACTTTATCGCAAATTTTACAAGGAATCTTATAGACACATCCATCAGCATTTTGGGGGGAATTCTTTATCAAAAGTTTTTTTACTGTATCAAGATTTTTTAATACAACTTTAATATTAAAAGTCTTAAGAAGAGAAGGCAACCAAGTTTTCATGGTAAGGGAGAACCAACATATTTTTAGTTGAATAAGGCTGGTTGTCCCTTTTTGGATTGTAAAAAGTATTTCTAGCAATTTTAAAAGATTTATCAATTACATTTCTTTGGAATTTTAAATCATTACCTATTTCATAAATTTTGGATATTTCCTCATCTATGAACTCAGGACTACAAATTCGTAAAGTTCTCAAAATCATTGATGAGAAAACAGACAGTTTAACTCGATCTTGATGCGAAGAATAATAGTGGACATAGGAACAGTTATTTGTAGGTTTTCTGTAAATTTTAAATTTGAATTCATTATTACCCTTAATAATTAAAACATCTAGAAAAGGTAATGAGTTATTTTCTTCAAACTCAACAGTAAAGTTTATGGAATGGGCTAAGCTATTTAATTTTCCAAGGAAATGGTGTATATCTACATTTTTGGGCATAAGACACAAAATATCATCAACATATCTGAACCATTTAGCTCTATTAGGGAGGATTGTGTTAAGCAATCTTGTTTCAAAAAATTCCATGTATAGGTTACTAAGAACAGGTGAAAGAGGATTTCCCATTGCCATACCAAACTTCTGAGTGTAAAACTTATCATTAAATACAAATTTTGCATCAACAATGCAAAGTTTAATAAGTTTAATGATAGTAGGAACTGCAATGGTAAATCATAGTTAACGATTTCTTCAGATAAGAAACTTAATAAATCATCAACAGGAACTTTCGTAAACAAGGAAGTAACATCAAAGCTAACCATGTTAAAATCATTTAAGTCTGTCAAGGAGCTTAATTTATCAACTACGTCTATGTTGTTTTTAACATTAAAGTTAGAAATTTTGCCAACAATTGGGCTCAAAATATCAAGAAGCCATTTGGATAATTTATATGAAACTGACCCTATGGAGCTAATAATTGGTCTGACTGGATTCCCTGGTTTGTGTGTTTTTATTAGTCCATACATGTAAGGCAAAGATGGATTAGTGGAAGTAAATTGTTTGACTAATTCATCTTTGCCTTTCAGTAGAAGTTTTATTGTTTTATTGAAATTGCTGTTAACGGTTTCGAATATGTTTCAGTATCATCTAAGAGATTATTCATTTTTTCTTGGTAATCATTTTCTTTCATAATTATTATTGCATTTATTTTGTCTACTTTAGTAAGGCGCAAATTTTTGTTATTAAGTGTATCATAAGCTTTCAAGACAAAATAAATGCAATAGTAATTATGAAAGAAAATGATTACCAAGAAAAAATGAATAATCTCTTAGATGATACTGAAACTTAGGAAAAATCCCCTAGAAACCGTTAACAGCAATTTCAATAAAACAATAAAACTTCTACTGAAAGGCAAAGATGAATTAGTCAAACAATTTACTTCCACTAATCCATCTTTACCTTACATGTATGGACTAATAAAAACACACAAACCAGGGAATCCAGTCAGACCAATTATTAGCTCCATAGGGTCAGTTTCATATAAATTATCCAAATGGCTTGTTGATATTTTGAGCCCTATTGTTGGCAAAATTTCTAACTTTAATGTTAAAAACAACATAGACTTAGTTGATAAATTAAGCTCCTTGACAGACTTAAATGATTTTAACATGTTAGTTTTTGATGTTACTTCCTTGTTTACGAAAGTTCCTGTTGATGATTTATTAAGTTTCTTATCTGAAGAACTCGTTAACTATGATTTACCATTGCCAGTTCCTACTATCATTAAACTTATTAAACTTTGCATTGTTGATGCAAAATTTGTATTTTATGATAAGTTTTACACTCAGAAGTTTGGTATGGCAATGGGAAATCCTCTTTCACCTGTTCTTAGTAACCTATACATGGAATTTTTTGAAACAAGATTGCTTAACACAATCCTCCCTAGTAGAGTTAAATGGTTCAGATATGTTGATGATATTTTGTGTCTTATGCCCAAAAATGTAGATATTCACCATTTCCTTGGAAAATTAAATAGCTTAGCCCATTCCATAAACTTTACTGTTGAGTTTGAAGAAAATAACTCATTACCTTTTCTAGATGTTTTAATTATTAATGGTAATGAATTCAAATTTAAAATTTACAGAAAACCTACAAATAACTGTTCCTATGTCCATTATTATTCTTCGCATCAAGATAGAGTCAAACTGTCTGTTTTCTCATCAATGTTTTTGAGAGCTTTACGAATTTGTAGTCCTGAGTTCATAGATGAGGAAATATCCAAAATTTATGAAATAGGTAATGATTTAAAATACCCAAGAAATGTAATTGATAAATCTTTTAAAGTTGCTAGAAATACTTTTTACAATCCAAAAAGGTACAACCAGCCTTATTCAACTAAAAATATGTTGGTTCTCCCTTACCATGAAAACTTGGTTAATATGCCTTCTCTTCTTAAGACTTTTAATATTAAAGTTGTATTAAAAAATCTTGATACAGTAAAAAAACTTTTGATAAAGAATTCCCCCCAAAATGCTAATGGATGTGTCTATAAGATTCCTTGTAAAATTTGCGATAACGTTCATTACGGTCAAACTGGTAAAAATCTCGAACTAAGATTAAAACAACATAAATATAGCATTAGAAATGGACAAGATTCCAATGCTCTATTTATTCATGTAAGAGATTTTAACCATCCAATTGATTTTCAAAAAGTTGAGAAAGTAGTATCAAGCAAGTCCATG